TGGGCGCTGGGGTAGTTGGGAGCATCTTCCTCTGTGGTCTCCACCTCTCTGATCTACTTACAGGCGCAACAGGGGCCCGTGGATCTGAGCGCTTCCCGAGCACTTAAATAGAGATAATGACAACAAGCCTCTCTTTTTGCCTGGCTCGGAGGAGATGAGCTAGATTCCTTCATAGGTTTGTGTTTGCTTGTTTGATTTGTGTGGGCGGGTGTGGGCGTTTTAGTGTGCGCAGAAATTACTGTGGTGGAAAGCCACGGCAGAGAGCCGAGATCTGGGTTTCCTCGCGACTGCCGGGAAAGCCAGGCATTTTAGGGGACAGAGGTGCTCGTGGGGAGCGCGTGGTGGGGGACAAGCAGCCTGGGAGCCTCCAGGGTGGCCCTGCTCATGGCTAAGCTGGTTTTTCCTGTGGGATCACCCTTGGCTTCCCCCCAGCTGCTGCCTGGGGTCAGGTACAGGCTGTCTGTGCCCAGTTCTGGCAACCCCTGGTTTTGCCAGCTGTGCGTGCCCTGCGTGCAGCACGGTGGGACGGTTTGGGTGGCAGGGGGCAGAGGGAGGGAGGGCAGCCCCTCGGAGAGCCCGGCCACCGTCCCCGGTGCAGTGGGGATGCCAAGCAGAGGAGGTTTTTCCACCAAGGCACCTGAGAAGGAGCTGCTGCCCACATGTGCCAAACCCGGCGTTCGCTGGCCACCACCATGTGCACACGTGAGTCCTTTCGGACATTTCTCTCCACACAAAGTGGATGAGGGCTCTGCAGCGGTGCGTGCTCTACTCCTGTCCCCTGTCACTGCTCCTGGTGGGCTGGCATGCCAAGAGGAACCTTTTTGCTGGCTGCAGGTAGAGGTGGGTGTTGCAATTTCTTCTTGTGCTGGCTGGTTGCACAGCAAAGTGGCTGGGTTAAGGCTGCCCGGTTTGGATCTCTTCTTCCATTTGGGTTTCTCTGCTCCCTCTCCTAATGCCCTGCTGGTCCCAGAGCCACCTCGAAGGTGTCCCTCAGCCTCAGCAGCTGTCTTGTGCAGCCACCCCTCTCACATTTGATTGCTCCCGTCCCCCTGGATCCCACAGCTGCGATGCTGCATCTGTGCCTTCTGTGTCTCCAGCCTTCCTGGCCCCCCACACCCCAAAGAAGCACCCCTAGAAGGCAACTTGGGGGTCACCTTGCTTTTTTCCTGCTGCCAGCCATAGGCATAGGAGCTCAGTCCCGCTATCACCCTGCGCTGTGTGTGCTGAGCCTCCTATGCTCCTGTGGAAGCCTTGGCAGCTCCCTGTCACACGCAGCAGGTTAGGGGGCTTTATCTGGGTGGCATCAATCAGGCGCAGCCGTGGTGCCCTCCCTGGCTGGAGCAGCTTTGCCTGTCTCTTGCCTGCGTGGAGCTAGTGAGCTGCTGGAAATCTCCTAGGTAATGGATAATGTAATAACATTTCAAATGAGATCTGCAGAGCAGGAGGAAGATCTGGGGGAACTCTGGGAGAGAATGCAGGCAAATCTCACCGCAGTCTCCTCCTCTCGGGCCAGACACGGGGCAGCGCTGGGGGCCACAAAGCTGCCCCTTCCCAGCCAAGTTCTCCCTTAGTCCGCTGGCCTGGCTCAGGCTCTCTGCTGGCGGCAGCTCAGGGCCGAAGGGGAAAGGAGAGAGCATATGGTCTCTCCGGAGACTGAGGGTACTGCTTGCGCGCAGCGAAGTCGCAGTCTGCCTCTGTCTCCCCAGGGCAGAGCCGTGTCACCTCCGCAGCAGCAGGTCGGAGCAGGGTTCCCCATATGGCTGCTGCAGGCAGGAGGTGATCCCGTTCCTGGGGGCCCCCATGGTGGGGAGAAAGGGAGCCACGCCGCAGCATCCCTGACACACACGGCCCCTCCTTGCACGCCCAGTGGGAGACCTGGGCCGAGCCCAGGACTGGCTCTGACAGCAGAGACAGAGCCAAGGAGCGTGCTTTTGGTGCGGTGCAGCAGAAGGGGGGACAAGCTGCTGTAGCCCTTCCCGGTGTAGAAATCCCCAAATTGCTCCCGGTCGGTAGGGAAGCACTCGGCCCCCAGGAAGACACACAGCTATGCCCAGCTCATCACAGTGCTGGCCAGGCACCTGCTGTGCTCCTGAAGAGCTCGGTCGCAGCAAGTGGGTGTCCAACCTTTGAGCGCTGTATGGAGGAGGCCTGTAGCGTTGCTGGTTTTCTCTGTGGGGAAACTGAGGCACGGGGCAGTTGTGGTGGCAGAATCAGCTCCCTCAAATCCTTCTAGGGCTCTGCCTGCTGGGCCCTGCTGCCTTTCCTTCCCTGGAGAGGTTTCCTTTCTCCTCTGAGCTGTTGCTGTTTGCTCTGAAATGACAGTGGGATTCCCACTCTCGGGCTACGTGCGGGTCTGAAAGCTCTTCTCTCTCTCTCATCCCCAGGGAGTGCTCTTGACCCCGCACCCCAACTCGCACAGCAAGAGGGCAAGCAGGAACCTTCCTGATTATTTTTTTTCTCTCTCTCTCTTTCCAGGTATCTGTAGATATCAGCAGCGGTGCAATTCGCGTAGCGGTGCTGGAGGGGAGCAACCAGCGTGTCCTCATGGAAGGGAAACTCATCCACAAGATCAACACGGAGAGTTCCCTCTGGAGTCTGGAGCCAGGGAAGTGTGTTTTGGTAAGGGTGGTCCGCGCCAGCCTTGTCTCCACACCTTGCCTTGCGGCTCCACTGGGCTTGACCTGGAAAACTGGAGCAGCTGGAAGTTTGAGCCAGATCTGGATGTGTCTGTCTCTCCCCATCCCATGTCTAGCTCACTCTGTCCTTGTCTGTGTGCTGTGTCCTGCCTCCAGCTCTTGAGCTGCCTCTCCGGGCGAGTGGCAATGAGGTGCTGGCAGAGCAACACATCCATTGGGTTGGGTGAGAAGGGTCCCCAAGTTCCAGCCTGTGGAGGCGGGAGCACATCTCTTATCTAGGGGTGGTCATTGTCCCCTGATCCCAGCACACCGGGTCTGCCAGCAGAGAGAGGCAATGGCAGTTATCCTTGCCGGCTTTGCCCTCTGACTCTCCTGGCCCCGGTCCTGCCCCAGCATCCTGACAGACGCCCGTTCCCTACCATTCATTTCTGTCATGCCTCAAGTTTCTTACTTATCCTGTTTGAAGTGGTCACTGTGTCTGCTTCTCTGTTTGCCTTCAGCAGGCACTGTGGTTTGCTGTATGCCTGCCACCCCAGCACCACAAATCTTCCCTGTCGAGGTGGTTTGGGGGCTGTTGCCGCCCAGCAGTGTGTTACTGGTGGGTTCCCAGCCTTGTGACTTGTTTCTGGTGTGCTCCAGATGTTCAGGCTGAGGGTGCGAGTTCTGTCCTGGGCCTCTGTCCGCAGCTGGAGCTGTCCTTGGGGTTGTGTTGCTGCTCATCAGCCTGGGATCTCGAGTGTCAAACAGCTGCCAAACTCCTGTGTGAGTTTTGGGGCCAGGATTGTGCTGGGAGTGAGGTTTTGCCACCTGTCGCCGTCTTTGCCGTCTGCCCCTGGAGGCTTTCCCAGAAGAGTTTCAAGAGTCTCAAGGCTGTCATGAGCCCCTAGAAGGGAGGCTGACTGCCCGGGTCAGGGAGGTGAGGCAGTTCCTGACCCTGCACAGGCAACACTGTCCCTGCCAGGGAGGGAGCGGGCTTCAAGCCTTCCGCCCCGTGTCACGAGGGTGGCAGCAGACGGGCACCCAAAGCCAAGCCCCCACAGCAGGAGATTGAGTGGCAAAGTGCTGCCAGAGGCAGAAGTGGTGAGGGTGGTGTGTGAGGAGGCTGCGCAGGCGCTGCCCGGCCACTGCAGATCCGTATGGATGTTCCCCACGATGACAGCCTGGTACCAAAAGGGTGAGGTCTCTGCAAGAGAGAGGAACTTCTCTGATTCTGTTAGGCTGTTGAAAGGATGTGAAAAAGGAGGCGGTGGCATCATTAACCTGCATTTTTCAAATGTTCTTAAGCTTCTTGAAAATTAGCTGATCTGGGAAGAGAAACGATTCTGGGAAAGA